GGAGGAGTAAGACAAGACAAGAAACACTGGGGACAAAAATTACAAAATAAAACAGGAAACACTAAAGACACTCAAGAATGTAACAGTAGCTATACAAACAGGAAACACAAGAATAAATACTACAAAATAAAACAGGATACACTAAAGACACTCAAGAAAGTAACAGTAACAATACAAACAGGAAACACGAGGATAAGTACTACAAAATAAAGCAGGAAACACTAAAGACACTCAAGATTGTAACAGTAACAATACAAACAGGAAACACGAGGATAAGTGCTACAAAATAAAACAGGAAACACTAAAAGGGAAACAAGCAACAAGAAGGAAAAAGAGACAAAACAAACTAAGACAGGAAATCTGAACTCTGAAAATATGCCAGAACAAACCACTACAAAGATGTCGACCTTTAACTATTACCTTCAATTATGTCACTAGCCGCCATGTTTTGTTTTTATCTGGTTTCTTCATTGTTCATAGAGATGAAACTGTTTTTTCAACATGTTGAAAACAACAAGTTTCCTTGACGTACACCGTCTGCTTTAAGGAAACAAAAACACAAACAAAACACTGACAGCAAACACTTCTGATTTATTTTTTTAGAAACACAGAAAATACCGTCTGCCCTTAAATCATAAACAGCTCTAACAGATGTGTTCTGTAATCCTCACATCAGGATGTGTTATTTCATCTTAATCCAGCAGCTCTGACTGTAAATCCTGCGTGCCTCCTTTTCATCAAGACGTGCTTTTATTTATTCTAAGAAATGACAGCGATCAAATCTGAGACAACATGACTGAGAGATTTCTAGAAACACATTGATGTAACTCGGATTACTTCATGTTTCTACATGTGGACACAGCAGCACGTTATGAAGAAAATTAAACGTCTTACAAAAGAAGGCTCTGCTATTTCCCCACAATGCTACAAAGACTGCATGCAGAAAATCCATTTGTTCATGCTGCGTTACCTAACATAAAGATATCTGCAACCTCATTATAGACCAGTCTGGAGTCCACTTTTTGAAGGTCTTGGTCTCATCATGAAGCGTTTTTACTTGGCCTTGTCTCGGTCTCAGACTGGGTGGACTCCATATTTTACATGGTAAAAAATAAATAATTAAAGAGTAAAGAAAGAGTTAAAAAAGAAAGAAAGATCAAAGCACTAAAAACAGTGACAAAAATGCATAAAGAGAGAGAGAGAGAGAGAGATGCTTTAGTAATCCCCGAGGGGAAAGACATTTCTGTCCTACACCTTCTCATCTTTTGTTCCAGTTCACCTTCTTCCTCTGCACTTAACTCTTAATGTGGCTGAATATGTATATTTATCTGAATAAATCCCAAATAAATCTGTAAAAGAATCCTTTTGTATCATGATATGAAGCAGTGAAAAAAAACAAACACGTTTTGACATCAATCTTCAATTTGCTTCACGTCTGACGAAGCTGCTGCAAAACTTTTTATTTTATTTCATTTAACCTTTATTTAACCAGACAAATAACCCACTGAGATCAGGGTCTCTTTCACAAGGGTGACCTGGCCAAGAGGGCAGCAGCACACGTCATAAGAAGCATTACATGATAAAGAGACAGTTTACAAACAATAAGTTAAGAGAGAACAACAATTTACAATGTGCAAATTGATTTACAGATAAAGTGCAGAATCTTGATCACAGATTACAATTCAGAAACACAGGCACTGTCCAATTGTCTCATGTATTTTATCTTTTAAGATTGAGCCAAAGGCTTCAAGCGAAATGAGATCCGCCATTTTCAAGTCATTTTGGAGAAAGTTCCATGCGGAGGGAGCAGCAAAACTAAACGCTCTTTTCCCGAGCTCAGTGCGGACACGAGGCACAGACCGTTTAAAGACATCACAGGAACCCAAGGCATAGTGGCTTCTGGTTCTTTGAAGGTATGAACATAAATCAAGAAGGCACCAAACCAAGAAGAGCTTTATAAATAAGCTTCAGCCAGTGTATATGCCTGTGCACCTTCAAAGATGGCCAATCTGAGTTAGTGTACAGGTCACAGTGATGAGTGAAGCGTCTACAACCAGTCAAAAATCTCAACGCACAGTGATACACGGTGTCCAATGCCTGTAAACATTTGGCCGAGGGGCCCATGTACAGTACATCTCCATAATCCAACAAAGGAAGAAAGGTTGATGAAACAAGAAGTTTCTTTGCTCTGAGGGAAAAGCAGGATTCATTTCTGTAATAAAGTCCCAACTTCACCTTAAGTTTAGAGGCCAAATTGGCAATATGTGATTTAAAAGACAGATCACACTCAAGAATAAATCCCAAGTACTTGTAGCTTTTGACAAGCTCGATTTCATTTCCTTGAGAAGTTAAAATCAATGGGACATTTGTTGTTTCTCCACTTAAATGTGAGAACAACATGAGCTTTGTTTTATCAGTGTTTATGACCAACCTTAGTTCCCTCAAACGAGACTGGACAACATTGAAAGCTGACTGCAGAAACTCAAAAGCTTGTGATACATGGCATCTGACAAATTTTCACACATAACACAAAACTCTTAACAACTAGGAGAGGGAGAGAGAGAGAGAAGAGAGAGAGAGAGAGAGAGAGAGAGAGAGAGAGAGAGAGAGGGAGAGGGAGAGAGAGAGGGTGAGAGAGAGAGAGGGAGAGAGAGAGAGAGAGGGTGAGAGAGATAGAGAGAGGGAGAGGGAGAGAGAGAGGGTGAGAGAGAGAGAGACAGAGGGTGAGAGAGAGAGAGAGACTCCTTTATTGTGCAGCATTAAAGTTAATCAACTTGTGATTAATGCATAACAGCTGTCCTTATCTTTTCAATGAAGTCTTGTTTTCTTCTGTCTCAGGCCCCAAGGTGAACACACACACAGACACACACACACACACACACACACACAGACACACACACACACACACACACACACACACACACACACACACACACACACACACACACACACACACACACACACACACAGACACACCTGGGTGAGTTATAAGACGTTGAATAAAAATGGCAACATCTAATTGCATTTCTTTGTTCGGGTAATTTGATCTGCTCCACAGGCGGGGGTCTCATCAACACCTCCGCATTACTGATCACAATATTCTTCAGTCAGTCTTCTGACAGTCTGCTTCTCCTGTGTGTGTATGTGTGCGTTTGTGTGTGTGTTGGTGTGTTTGTGTGTGTCTTAATGTGTGTGAAACCATATCTGTGTCAACAAGAGCTCTAATTCACAAAGCAGACACACACCCATGAGGTTGTCTTGCTGTGTGCTGCTTGCTTGTGTTTCTGATTGAATGTGTTGAAAAGCTTCCTGCAGGGGGGAGGGGACATTATGTCAAGTTTATTGTCATCTTCATAATATCAGAGTTATATTTTACATACTTTTTTTAAATTTTTTTTATGATCTCTGATCCCACAGTGCAGTTACCACCATCTCTCCGCAGATGGTGATTTCTCCTCTCTTACTGCACGTGGCTGTTGCTGCCGGTGTTTTATGAATTATGATCTTTCTGCAGTGAGGCCGATTTGGAAAGAAAAGGGACCATTTTTCCCTAAATAACCGCACAATCTCTGAAAGATACAGCGCAGACAGCAGCGACACACGGACACGCTGTTTGCTCTGCAGCGCAGTCAGGGGAGCGTTTAACCCTTTGTGTGTGTTTCCTGAATTACACAGTGTCTTTTTGATGCATTTGCACAGTTTTAGCTAGCCGTGCAATCCTTCAGTTAATCACGCCTCTGTCAGTATGGAACAAATCAACATATCAGTGGTGGGCCGTGCATTCACACCTCGCCTTTCAGGGCTGACCTCCTACAATAAAATCACCCATGATAACCCCATGATGATGTCACAGCTGCAGGTTATTGTCATTTCATGTGATGACCTCATATTCATAATGACACTGTCACCTTGACATGTGAAATAACATGATGTGAAACACCTGTGAGGGCTACAAATACCCTCACTGCAGGTACATACACATATCTAAACCATCAAGGATGAAGGCCTGTCAGTATTTTCTTGCTTCGTGACAGGATGCTGCGTCACAGACAGATGTTGCATGCAGCCAAAGATAGCGGAGGTCATAACCTCCTTCAGACAACATAAAGTTTCATTAATGTGTGGGCAACCTTCAGGGAATAAATAATGACATTTTTAAAGAGATTCTTTAAAACAGTGAAGTCACAATGGAGCCGTCCAATGAAAGCTTTTGTTATCTAAAAGGATTGGCTCTGTTGTCTGTGTGGCGCTTTGAATCTTAAAGACGCATTTTCATTACTTGATAAAAGCTGAAAAGCTTTAAAACTCCCCAAACTGGAGCTCCCTTCACGTTCAAAGGAAAGATGGATAAAGGCGTCCAAATGCTCAGTTTTAAAGGAAACATTATGAAGCATCCGATTTTGTTTTTGTTTTTAGGATTCATGTTGTGGCTGTAATAAGAGCTTCCTGCGATTGTTTCAGCCATTTCTGTTTCACAATGCAGACGATGAGTTGACACTCAGCAGAGAGAGCAAGACTGAACACTAAAGGTCAGAGGTTACGGCATGCTAGAACCGAATCCTGCAAGTGTAGAAGACAGCATTTAAACACATTACAGCCAGCTTTCCCTCCCGCATGGCTCTGTTTGTCTCTCTTAGCCCTTAACATTGAAAACATTTCACACCACTCAGTGTGTGGGTGTGTGAACGTGTGTGTATGTGTGTGTGTGTGTGTGTGTGTGTGTGTGTGTGTGTTTGACAGCTTCAGACCCTGACAAGGTGTCTGACACTTTTCTTCTTTGTCTGTGTTGACATGAAAATGTGTGAACATCTTTCTCTTCCTGCAAATACAGGCACAAGTGCACACACTGTTACTAGGCAGATTTGACTATAATAAGTCAAAAGTGTGTGTGTGTGTGTGTGTGTGTGTGTGTGTGTGTGTGTGTGTGTGCGCACGGAAGTAAAGCCGTCTGATTTGCTGAATGATGTAATCAGGATGCTGTGCAGTTAATATCTGCAATCATGGACTGCAGCTCTGTTCTGCAGGTGTTTCTGGTTTGTTTGTTCCGTTCTTACTTCAAAACACTTCAAGAGTTTCATTTTCAAGTCGACGACTGTGCAAAGTTCAGACATCAAGCTTGAAACACGGTTACACTCTGAAGTTGTATTCTTTCATATTTAATAAATAAAAATGTCCTGCTGAGTGTAGTGTGTGATTTCAGACAGTTCAGTGCAGTTTGCGTCATTAAAAGTCCAGTAGATTAAAAAATTAAAGTGACCGTACAAATACTCACAAAGTGCGCCGAGTCCCTCCCTAAACTTGGAGAGCAGCTGCCTCCAGGTGGACATTTCCCCTGACAGCAGACGGTTGCTCCATTGACTTTGGTTTAGTAATTGACTTTGTGAGCTAATAGACTTTCGTTTGAGCTTTTTTCATCCAAACGAATTGATTTTGAATGCAGAGCGCCCAGCGGTGCGTCACAAAATGTGCCCGTATAGCTGCGGAAAAATAAAAAAATCACTGAGGCTTGCTGTCGTCTTGTCTCAGCAGGTTGTGCCGTTACTCAGCGTCTTCAACATTTATCTCCACGTGGGGCCATGTACGGGTTCGTCCAGCTCCTCTCCTCTCGGCTCGGGAGGAGAGTGGATTCAATTCATTAATTACAGCCGAGCTGCACAACATCACAGCTCGACCTCAAAGTCAAAACTCAGAGTTAAACTTACACCAAGTGAAATAAGTTGCACGTCCCCTTAAAGGGATACTTCACCCCTGTTGAAACATGAATCTGTATTGACATTGGGTCATATATGTAGTAGAAATGTGAAGTAAATGTTGAAGTAGGAGCCTTCTTGACCGAGAAAAGGCAGAACGTGTCTTTTCGGCTCATGTGGATGAAAGACACCAAATCCCAGAATGCACAGCACCGCAGGCCACTCCCACTAAGATCCTCTATTTACAGACATATTTATTACAACACATATGGCCGTTTCCTCAACTGATTCCAAGATTTCTTCCAGAATGAATTGGCATCTTGGAAATTCCTGGCAGAAAGCAGACTCCATGTCTGTGTCCATAGACAAACAGTGAGAGCACCGACACCACCACCGGCCCCGGGCTCCTCGTCCTCACCGCCGTCGGCTGGCAGATTTTAGTTTGCACAACAGCTGATTTCAGGAGGTGACACTCAGTCCAGCTCATGTCTGTTGTTAACACACTGTGTGATAGCTGTATGCCGTTCAAGATGAAGCTTCAGTCTAGTCTCAAACTAAATTCAAGAGTTCATGTTCCGCCTGTTCAGAATCACATTTATCCGTTTGTCTGTCATCTAGGCGTTTCAAGATTTCCATGCAGCTGTTTGCTTATTGTTTGATGTCTCGTCGCTGCTGTTGTGACTTTTTATGAATTCAATACAAGACATGCTATTCTCTTCAAATGTAACCACAGTTCCCCTCATTATGCACATTAAGTTTAAGAGTTCTCAGTCAAGTTTTTTTTTTTTCTCTGTTTCTCCACAGTGCGGGCTCGTGCCGATGGAGTCGCTGCAGAACACTCCGTACGAGGAGAAGATCTTCATGCAGTGGAAAGCTCCCAACGAGACCAACGGGGTCATCACACTCTACGAGGTCAGTCAGACACTTTTTTCTTTTTTTTTTAATGAATGTTCATACTCGCTGTGAGTGTGCGAGGCCGAGGTTACAGCTTTTTAAAATGTGGCATTGTGGGAAAGAGATCTGGTGATTGAATGTGTGGCTGCAGTTGTTGAGGAGGCTGCAGCTCGCGGTGTTGATGAACTGGGTGGACGTTTACAGTAAAATGTGGACGATCATGAGTGAATCTTGAAGACGATAGGACTGTAAGTACTTTTTACAGATTTGTTTTTGCGCTTTTTCTGCCTTTATTGGAGAGACAGGAGAGTGGATAGAGACAGAAACTCAGGAGAGAGAGAGAGAGCGGGGAATGACATGCAGGAAAAGACCCACAGGTCGGACTTGAACCTGGACCGTCCGCTTTGACTACTACAGCCTCTGTACATGGGGCGTGTGAACTAACCACTAGTCCACCACTTTCTCATTTCAAAGCATCATTATTTTCTTCTTGTGGTTCGATTTCATTTCATGTAGAAAAAGTCGTTGGAAAAGTGGAGGTGAAGGCAAAACCTTTTCCTTTAAAATAACTGGGAGCTGAGACAAAGACACAGACGGGTTATCTTTGAAGTGTAAGCCGGGACATCAGCGTCAGCTCATATCGATACGAGTCATAATCATTCAGGCATAGATGTGAAAACCCATTAGAAATTAAAATAAGAAGAATTCAAATGTGTGAATCCATGAGGAAGGAGGTACAAAAAAAAAGTAGGACGAGAAAACGGGAGATCTCCTGACAGCCTTCAGACAATGTTTGGGAGTGAGACTGAGACTGAGAGACGTGTGTGTACACTGTGCGTGTGTGTGTGTGTGTGTGTGTGTGTGTGTGTGTGTGTGTGTGTGTGTGTGTGTGTGTGGTCACAGACGCTTTATGCGGGCTGAAGTAGATTGGAGCCCTCCATCTAATGCATTATTGACCCGTGCTCTGCCTGCTGTCTGCAGCTTCTATCAGAGCATCAAGGAGATACCTCACATCCAGACCTGGCAGGGCTTTTAGTGTGTGTGTGTGCATGTGTGTGTGTGTGTGTGTGTGTGTGTGTGGCAGAGAAAATGAGTGTGTGAGGAGTCAGTGAAGCAGGAGAAGATAAAGAGTGTTTTTTTTTTTTTTTTTTAGCTATGAATGTGTGTGTGTTTTGGGGACAGGTGTGTTACTAACGAAGTGATACAAGCCCCTGGGTGAGTGCATGGGTGAACCTGTGTGCTGCTGTGTAGACATTGAAGATCATGCGAGGGTGTGTGTAAGCACTGGGCACGTTTGTCCCCCTATTGGACGAGCAGTGTTAGCTTCTTTCTCTTCCTTTATAGTTGTGTTCTTATAGTTCAGGATGCTCCTGTTTTATTGCTTTTATGTATAAATATGCAGCTTTTTGTTTTCCTGACTCAGCTGAACTGATCTCCTGGGGGTCGGAGCCCTCACAGCGAACGCTCTGACCCCTTTATAGTTTTCAGTCTGGTATTTAAAACACAAGGAAGACCTCTACCTGAGGATCTCAACAAACATGTCTCTCTCCCTTATTTCTGACTCTATCCTTTGTCCTATCTCTCTAAATAAAGACAAAACAAAAAGTCCAAAAATTGAAACTTTTCTTGCTAAACTCGGTTTTCATCCTTCATAATATTATATGATCCAGCTCCATCGAGAGTTTATTTCATTCTGTTTTGAACTCATTTTACAACCTCACACATCTGGTAACTAAAGCACATCTTCCTCTCACTCCATTTTCTCTCAAGCCTCGTCTCTACCTCCTCACAAGAATCTTTCTCTGTCTCTCCCTCTCTCTCTCTCTCTCTCTCTCTGTCTCTCTCTCTCTCTCTCTGTCTCTCTCTCTCTCTCTCTCTCTCTCTCTCTCTCTCTCTCTCTCTCTCTCTCTTTCCTCGACCCGGAGCTTGAGACACCACTCTGCACAGTCTTTAAACCTCACGGGGCCCGTCACGAGTTTCCACCCTTGTTTTTGTGTCGGTTTCATTAATGTGCGCTCACCCGGCCTTCTGAGCGCGGCGGAGGCGGCACGACTTGGCTTCATGTGTTAAACATATCAGAGAGCCGACACAATGCACGGCAATTAGAGATAATTACTATAATTACACCTATTGACAGGATTAAAGGCATCATCTGCATCATCTAAAGGGCCCCTTCTTTCCTGCTCTGTTGTCTCTGTTTTTGTCCCCCCCCCCCCCCCCCCCCCCCCCCCCCCCCCTTCCTGCTCTCGCCGCTCCCTCGCTTTTAAGGGTGAATTCACGGCCGGACTTTGAGAGGAGGAGTGGGAGGAAAGCAAGATAAAACGACATGAAGGAAGAGAGAGAGAGGTGCACAGAGATGAAACCTATGGAGTGAGAAAGTGTCCAGAAGAAAACAGATCTCTCTTTAAAACTTGAATGGATTCACTTCATCTCCTGCATCCATTACTCTAATTGGAGATAATTACAGGATTAAAGGAAACATCTGGGTGAGATCTAAAGGGACAAAGCTCCCCCCACCTCTCCTCCACTTACTCGCTCCCTCTTGTCCTATTCATGTGAGGAAGGATAAATTATCTCGGGGGGGGGGGGGGGGGGTGGACAGAGGGATGGCGAGGGGGACGGAGGTGAGATGAACAGAGAGGACAAACACGATCATTTGAAGGACAAAAAATCTGCAGAAACAAAAAGCGTTATTGACCCTTTTTCTTCACGGAGGTTTGAGAGGAAGACTGATGATGATATTTGTTTCAGAGATGTTTAGTTTAGTTAGTTTATTTTGATCACTAATCAAACATCCAACAAAACATTAAAATCACAGAATCAGAATTGGTTGTTATCTTTGAAATACAGATGAGCAGAATATATTTCAGGACAAATTTGACTTAGATCTTCTTTGATTTTGAGTCACTCTCAGCAGACACCATCACTGACAAACAGATGGTTTAGATTAATAGTCTAATTTGTGTTACTGGTTATTTGGTAAAAAACTACCAGAGATGTCATTTATATCATTCATTTAATTACTTTTGTTTATTTTTAGCGCTGAAGTGTTTTGAAGTGAACTGTTCTGATTTTAGCATTTTGAAGAAAATTGTGACTTTGATAATCTGGTCATATCTGGTTTACATTCAGAGTATGACAGAAGGGGGTAAGTCCACTTTGTCGTCTATTTCTCATAAGATAAGAGATGTAAGAATTCAGCGCTGTTCTCCTCATCGTATTTCAAACATGAACAAAGAGTAGAAGGTGTGATAAATCTGGAAGTTGTCACATAGCGTCACATCGCATCGCGCCAGTCGCTTGCTTGCTGTTCACACCGCGTCCAGCTTTGCTCTGTGAATTTCAGTTTCCCCCTTCTTTTTTTTTTTTTTTTTTACACCATCTCTTTATTGTCTTTTATATCAAAGCAAAAACAGTGTACAGCAAAACAGTACACACAATATGAAAACTAAAAAATATTTTAAAAAAGTAAAGGAAAAAATATATAATAATAATAAATAAATGATAATAATAAAAATAAAAACATAGCAGCCCTACTGACGGTCAGATCTGTTCATCAGTCCAAACCCTCCAGGAAGTTGTCAAAAATTGTCCATACTTTCCAAAACTTGTCAAGTTTGTTTTTTGAGAAATAGCTTCTCCTTTCAAGAGCAAGAAAGAGAGAAAGAGAGTCATTCCTTTCAACCACTGAGAGACTCCACAGGTTCTTTCAGTTTTCCCCTTCTAAACATTTCACAACATTACATCTGGTGCTTTTATTTTGAAGGTAAATGAACTGAAGTGTGGTGCTTTGTATTGACGAGCTGTTGACTCGAGTCAAAGCTCAACATTTCAAACGCAGATGTGGATTATATTAATGCACCGTTATCTCCACTTTGTGAAAACAAGCTAACGAGCTCTGCTGAGGGAGAAAAGGGAGTGTCAGTGCCTTGTAGATCCCCCTCGTCCCTCCTTCCTCGTCCGTCTATGCGAGCGTCAGAGAGGGCTGTTAGCTCACTCCGAGAGGAAACAATAGAATCGAGCTTGATTTGGACGCCGTCGCTCTGATGGTTAATAGTTTCCCCTCCATCATTTCTCTTTGCTATTTACACGCTCAGTCTTTATGAAACCAGGAGCATTCAAACACACACACACACATACACACACACACACACACACACACACACACACACACACACACACACACACACACACACACACACACACACACACACACACACAGCGACCTTGTCAATCCCCTCTCTGATTGCCTCATCAGACCGTTGGAGCACTGCAGGTCCTCCGTGTTTGCTCACTCGCCAACCCCCGCTGGTCTCCGAGGAGGTCCTCCTGACCCCCTGCTAGCTGAACAGACGCCGCTGCTAGCATTGATTAGAATTACGCAGCGAGGCGGATCATAAGATCACAGTTTGACGGTTTGGTTTTGCTAGTCGACGAGTCAAAAGGGGTTTGATGTTTAAATGTAACGAGTGGAGAGAATCCAGATCACAGCCCGGGTGAGGAAATCCTTCATTTGATTTTTATGTTGGGGAAAAAAAAAAAAAGCTTCAGGTGAAATAAATCAGATTTACTGTGAGATATTCCTGGGGAGGGGAGCGCTCTAACCACGAGGCTATCGGCGCCACACAGGATCTCTTTTATGACAGGAAGTCACAACAGAATCTATGATCACATGCACTGCAAGTAACTTCAACGCAGTGCAAGAACGGCAACCTTGTGCAACACATGAATAGACAAAACATTGTTCTGACAAACTGATTACGTTCTTCCTCCAGTCATATGTGTACTGGTGATTCTCTGGTGGTAAAACAGCAGATTTACTGTCATGCTATTGTGCATCAAAATCGTTTTTTTTCCTGTTTTATTAAGTTCTTGTGGATTCTTTGAACAGTTAAAGGAGCAATATGTAACTTCTGTAAGAAATAAGTCTCTTGAAGTCTTTGATTTTGATTTTTGGTTAATACAAATCATTTGATTTTGTTGGAAACACAACACCTTAGTTGTTTATGTTGCGACCT